GATACAGGTGTTCTTGCGTGCGTTTAGATAAATATCGTCCAGTTTCACCTACGTACTGAATACCGCATCCCGGTTTGTTTCATGTGAGTAAATAAATAATACTGTTTGTTTTTCAAGTTATATCAGTTTCAAAATTTAAAGAAAATGTGCGACCATTAAACGTGGACCTTACCGTATTGTTGGTGGAAAGACGGGGACATGTAAGTCATTTTTTGGCATGACACTTATCGATAGAAGGGTAACCACCACGATTTTTATTGATAAAAATGTTAGCGATGGTAGTATTTTTAGATAAGCGATTTTGAAGATTGAGACGTGTAGATACCCTTTGAACGAGTTTAGTATTTAATATTTTTCCATTTCTAAGCTTCATATCTGTTTTTTGTTATGTGGATTTTATTAGAAAGGAATATACATTTTTGTGTCAATCTTTACAACCTTTTAACTGCAACCATTTCAGATTCCGCTGAAATAAAAATCGTCAAAAGTTTTCGTATATTTTGGTGACCCTAAATCGCGAAATTTTACCATGGTGGCCATGTTGGTTAGCAGGCGGGGTCATCGGACACATTTTTTAAACTAGATTCCCAAATAATGAGTAAGGCCAAGTTTAGTTAAATTTGGCCCAATAGTTTCAGAGGAGAAGATTTTTGTAAAAGTTAGTGAACATCGACAGACGACGATATCGGTGGAAGCCGGACGACAGACGCCAAGTGATGAGAAAAGCTCACTTGGCCCAAATGGACCAGGTGAACTTAAATGGCTATAATGCTGCAATTTGTATATTATTTCTTTATTCAGTTTTCTTATGTTCTTTTCCTTATTTATTTTTGTTATTCGAAGCTGAAAGGGGTGCTTAATATATGATTAACTAATCGACTCAAGAAATATTCTGTAACCAAAAGCTTAAAAACAACAGTATCACTGAACTATATATAGCTACCAGCTTCAACTTAAAAGTTACAATGTACAATTTCAGACCTTAATTGAGCCTCAGAATCTTTTTTGGGTACTGCATCTATAATCCTATATCCTATCTACACCCCTACTATAAACCATGCACTCATACTTTTGTTTTAACTTGAAATTCATTTGTTATTTGCAAACATAAACACATGCACCTCTACAAAAAATTAAATACAGTAAAATTAACTTTGAACTCATGAAAATGGCAGGAACAGAGGAATTTCGTAAGCTTTCTTGATTGCTGTAATATTTATTTGTAGCCATGAGAATTGGGGATTTTCAAGCTGCTAGCTTGCAAGGTAACAGTTTACATATTGACATGTTATCCTCACTCTTAAGCTCAGTAAGCTGCATGACTGACAGAAAAGTATCATATATATTCTAAAACCAGTTGTTGGCATGATACGGGTTATGTTCTTCTCATATATTTTATGATACTAAACCCCTAACGGGAGGGATTCTACTTGATTTTCTTATGATGAAGACATAATTTTTTAATCAGTTTAATTGAGGTCTGGAGCTGGCATGTCAGTAACTGCTAGTAGTCCTTTGTTCACTTATGTATCATTGTCATTTTGCTTACCTATTCTGACATCGGACTCGTACTTCTTTTAAACTGAGTTTTACTGTGCGTATTGCTATGTGTTTCTTTATTCTACATTGGCTAGAGGTATAGGGGGAGGGTTGAGATCTCACAAAACATGTTTAACACCGCCGCATTTTTGCGCCTGTCCCAAGTCAGGAGCCTCTGGCCTTTGTTAGTCTAGTATGTTTTTTAATTTTAGTTCATTTATATGTTTTGGAGTTTAGTGTGACGTCCATTTTCACTGAACTAGCACACAATTTTAATTAGGGGCCAGCTGAGGACCACCTCCGGATGCGGGATTTTCTCGCTGCATTGAAGACCCATTGGTGGCCTTCGGCTGTTGTCTGCTCTTTGGTCGGGTTGTTGTCTCTTTGACATTCCCCATTTCCATTCTCAATTTTACAATAAAAAAAGTTTAACCTCATATTTGATTTATCCAATGCACATGGGCAATAACTAAATAAAACACTTTTTTTTGTTCTTTAAAACAATTTATAAATATCTTAGAGAAATGAAGGTTTCAGAGCAAACGCAATGCGATTTCTGTTATAATATATTTTTCCAAGGGCATAACTCTTAAAAAAAAAAGTCGATTGGCCACCATTATAGAACTTGTCCGAGATATTGCTGATATTAACCTATAGTATAAGTGTTATAAAAATCTGATAAGAACTGTACCTGTGAGAGCACTAACAAGACCGGACAGACGGTACGACACACAGATGCACAAACGCTCGGTATTTCTTGTTCTATGTTTCCTGCCAAAAGTGTTCGCGGGGGACAAAAAGAAGCACCTGTTGTAGGATTGCCAATTAAGACTAAAGGAGAGAGATGTGAATAATTATAATGTGAAAATGCTTTTTTTAAATTCTGTGGTTTAACCGTGACAGCCAAGATCGAACCCAAGGTTTGAGGCAAGAAAATTGGTCCAAAACCAACAAAGCAGTAGATTATAGGAAGAATTTGATAGCGTTGAGAAAAAATAGACATTCCCTAAAAATGTTTTGCCAATGAGTTTTTTCATAAAGTTAAAATTGTATAGACTTTAAGGGACAAAACGTCTAAATAATTTACTGTTACTGGCCAGTCATATCTGTAAATTATAGCTGCAGTCTTACAAAGCTTTATAAGATAATATTTATCATAAATAAAAGAATTCAGTAACGTCACAAAATATAAAATTTTATTCTTAAAATATAAAAATATATCATATAAATATAAAAGTCAGTAAAAACAATCAGTTAGAAAAAAAACATACACATGATTTATTTTCAAAAACGTAACAGATTTCTTAGATATGGTTGTTAATGTTAAATTTGCAGTTACTTATAAAAGAAAAAATTCTCATTGCACAATTATTATTATAATATGGTGGTTTTAAAGATAAATATCATTATCACAGCCATTTACCAGTTTACTATGACTAATTCAATAAAATCTCTGTCCCCCCTTAACATTTTTTCCCATTGGGTAAGCAGATTTTTTTCTTCTAATATTGAGGTATGTCCAATACACGATGTAGTTTCAATATCGACGACATCAACGATTTTCGTATCGATATCAGTATGCACCTTTACTATATGTGTCACAGTAATTGCAACATCAGCCGTCGATATCGATTCGATATTGTCAGTCAAATTTTATACCTGGCACATTTCTTCTGTTTAGGTTGTTAAAATTGCAGAAATCGAGATATCTGAGTCATTGAATCGAGACCACTGATGATTCATTGAAATGAGACCACTGATGAAACATTGAACCGAGACCACTGTTGGGTCATTGAATCGAGAGCCACTGATGAGTCATTGAATCGAGAGCCACTGATGAGTCATCGAATCGAGAACCACTGTTGAGTCATATAATGACAACTGCATGTTTGGCGTCAAAAATTAAAAAGACTGGTATCTTTGATGAAACTTAAAGGGGCACTAGCTACGAGATATATAAAAAAATCTAAAATATGATTTTTTTTGTTTAAACATTAATGAAAGTGCAATAATGAAATAATTATTCGCTTTTAGCAGCCAGTATGGTTCAATTTTGTCAGAATAAGATAAGAAACATTGATGATGAATTATTCACTTGCAAGTGAATAGTTCGACCTCATTGAATCCGTATTCATGTGAACTTCAATTTAACCCCTTCCCTTATGGAACTGAATTGTTTGCCGCAAACTTGCAGCAGACTTGCTGCAAGCTTGCGGCAAACAAAACTTTTGCAGGAACACAGAAAATAATGTTTGCAGATGTTGGCCGCTAGCTGCAAACTTCCGGCAAACATTGCAGCTTTTTGCTGCAAGCTTGCGGCAAATTTGCAGAAACATCAATGTTTGCCGTAAGATTGCCAGATAGTTAAGAATAATAAAGAATGTTTGCCGCAAGATTGCAGAAAACTTTGACCATTCTATATGTTCGCCAGAATATTGCAAGAATTACACAATATTGACTGGGCATGCCTAGTTGGCACTTCCTGGAAGCTAACAATTTGAAATTGTGGCTAGGTCATGTTGATTGTGTTTGGAAAATGCATTTCACATATAAGAGATCAAAGAGGCATTTTGGTTCAATAATATAGGATATTTAATATGTAATTTTGTAAGTACAAATAATTCATAGAACTGCATGTTTTAATAAAATAATTAATGTCACCATCATACATAATTAAGTAAGCAACTATATATATAATATATATGTGTGTTTGAAAAAACATTAGCTGTTATAAATTTGAATTTTGTAACTGATGTACTGTACCATGTTTATTAAAATTAAGTTCAATTCTGTTATGCAATTATTACCTAGCTTTATACCCAATACACATTTGAGATTTATCCTTTTTCATTTCTTAATACAGGTATATGTATGTCATTTGAGAATGACCCCTGCCCCCTTTTCAAAACTCAAATGCATATATATATATGTATTTCCTTAAATCTTTAAGTTTGCAAGAATTCTTTCAATGACTGTTTGTATACAGGCAGGAATTCTTTTTTAAAATGTTGCGGTGTAGTTTGAAGAGATAAATTGAATGTGTCTACACACATGACATTAGTATATGTGTAGTTCCTGCAAGTTTGCCGCAAGTTTGCAACAAACAATTGCCGCAAGCTTGCAGCAAACTATTGCCGCAAGCTTGCGGCAAATCTAATTTGCATAATTATGTTTGCAGCAAGCTTGCCGCAACCTTCATTTGCATGGTAAAATGTTTGCGGCAAGTTTGCAGCAAATGTTTGCTGCAAGCTTGCGGCAATGTTTGCTGCAAACTTGCGGCAAATGTTTGCCGCAGGGCTTATTTTTCGGTAAGGGTTAGCTAGAGATGGATAACACATGAATTGTGCATGTAAAGTTATTTAAAGGAAAAGAATGTCAACATTGAAAGTGAAACAAAGGTCAATCATTTGATTGACTGATTCGATCCACAAAAAATCATTCTTATACAGGTAAAAACGATGAAAAACATATATTTTTAATCTATAATATGAAATTAAACAGACCTAGAAAAATCCAATTCTACGAGTTCGCTTAATCCATTTATATCTATATTTATGTTTATATCGCTTATATGGTCATCGGAGGTCAACTCGATAGTTAATTAATTAGATGGTGTCTAGAATAAAATACACACGAAACGAAGCTACATATTATCGAGCCCATGCCCTGTAAATTGTTTATTTTAGACTTTTAATAGTTTGGATAAATGTTTTACATTGTTATAAATCAAATATGAGAATTTGTGTCAAATGGGTGAACTTGAATTTGACAGCTAGTGCCCCTTTAAGAGAAGAAAGTCAAATAGCATGATTTCCATGCTATTCTTTCACTGGTCGATGAGTTTTAGTGGACCCTTTTTTTCTTTAAGAATCGTTCATTGTAAGAAAGTTCCTACACTGTGGATTAGACATGAAGTACATACATTTACATCTATGCTATGCAGAACTTTTTGTTCAAAAATTATTGTTTAAAAGTAAAGATTTTTTTCTGGCATTAGTTTTAATTGCATGGAAAGCATTAGAATGCAGGATTTCGCATAAAATCTCTTAGATCTTCTAGGGGTAATCCCCTGCCTTAGATCTCCTATGGGCTATCCCCTGCCTCAGATCTGTCAGGGGCTATCCCCTGCCTTTGATCTTCTATGGGTCATTCCTTGCTTTCGATCTTTTATGGGTCATCCCCTGCCTTTAATCTTCTAGGCACCATCCACTGCGTTAAATCCTTTCTGATTTGACCTGAAGGTCCTTCAATATTTTGTTTACACTTAATTTTTAGCTAGCTTAGGGTAAGAAATGTATACATAATCACATGCTAACTTTGCTGTTTAACCTGAGGAAGTATATGTCAAAATACAAATAAATATTGCCTTTGTCTTTGCCAATCCTTCTGCTCAACTCTAAACAAAACAAACAAAAAAAATAATAAACAATGACTTCAGTGGATCAACTACTGCTTGTGAAAAATATCAATGTATAAAGGGTTACACTAAAGACCTGAACGTGGACCTGAAAAGACCTGAATATGTAAGACTCGATTTATTCAAATTACAATTTCTGTTTCATTTTCCAACGGATTTTCTTCAAATTAGAATTTCTTTAAAGGTAAAGATCCACATTTTTAATGTTTCAAATAAAATAACATTTTTTTTATGCCAAAACGTGGACATGAATGGAGAAATGAAAAGACCTGAATGGACCTGAAAATATATGGTTGGACTTATTCAAACTTCAATAACTTTTTAAATATTCAATGGAATTCTTTCAACTTTAGATTTTGTAAAATGAAAAAATTAACATTTTGTTAAAATCAAAAATTAAATAATGAAAAATATGTTTTGGGTGCCAAATCTCGGACCTGAACGGAGAATTAGAAACCTGAATGAACCTGAAATTCAACTTATATAATTTTCAAACTTCATTTATTTTTTTCAAAGAATTTCCTTGAAATCTAGATTTTGTTAAAGTACAAATTAAATATTTTACCAAAAAAAAAAAAAAAACATTAATGAAAAATATTATTTTGGTGACAAGACTTGGACCTGAGAATTAAAAGACATGCATAAACCTGAAAATACATTCTTCAAGGCCGTACGGTGACCTTATAGGTGTTAACTTCTATGTCATTTGCTCTCTTGTCGAGAGTTGTCTCATTGGGATCAAACCACATCTTCTCATTTTTATAAGAACATAAACGGTACCCTTTTTTCTGCACCAAATGCGTATTTTGACAATCAATGTCTCTTCAGTGATGCTCAAGGCCAAAATATTTGAAGATCCAAAGCTTATTTAAAAGATGAAGAGCTATTAACCAAATAGGACAAAAAGTACAGCCAAAGATAGACTTTGTAATAATTTATCAAAAGAAAAAGTTCATAGTAAAATTTGTAACTGAGCAATGTTTTGGTTGTGAACAAGATTAATTGATAATCCAATTAAAAGATTAAAATGAAATGGTTATTTAGACCAAAGATCCAGTTATCACCTAATACAAGGTGTGAATTACAGCTGGCACACGTTCATGTAATTAATACATTCCAATCAACGAACACATGTCTTTAGATTACATGGTTTATGCATGTGCAAATGATACTTTTATTTTCGATATATAAATATCACAATTTAAAACCTATTTTTTTAGAAGTTTATATAGATACAATTTAAACACGTTAATTAGTTGAATAATTTTCCTTGGACAAACCTGTGTTCCCTTCAGGTTCAGGTTTCAACATCAACAAGGTATTTATTACTTAAAAATTTTCCTGTATACATAAAATCAGTCTTTCTCTTCAATATAATTTAATTTAGAATAAAATCAATTAAAAAATTTTAAAAATTCTGTCAGTTTAAATACATCTACCCGTATTTTTCAAGTCTTTTTATTTCCCTGTTAAGGTCAGACTTTTGGAACTAAGAAAATGGTTTTCTAAAAATTCTTTATCATTTCAATAAAATATTATACATTTTCTATAAAAAAATTCAAATTATTGATTGAAAACTAAAACAGTTATAGAACATGAATAAATCTAACCGGAGTTTCCAGGTGAATTCAGGTAATTTAGTTTCCCGTTCAGGTCCGAGTTTTGACACCACAATAATATTTTTCATAATTTCTTTTTAAATATTATTAATATATTGAATTTCTTGTTTCACAAAATCTAAACATGAAGGAATTCCATTGAAAAATAAAACAGTTAGTGAAGTTTGAATATGTCTGATCGTAGAATTTCATGTCCGTTCAGGTCTTTTCATTTCTTCGTTCAGGTCCAAGTTTTGGAATCTAAAATTTGTATTTTATTTAAAATATTTTATTTTTATTATTACGTGGATCTTTACCTTTTATAAAATTCGGACTTGGAGAAAATCCTTTGAATAATAAAAAAGGAATTGTAATTTGAATAAATCGAGTAGTATATCTTCAGGTCTATTCAGGTCTTTTAAGGTCCACATTCAGGTCTTTAGTGTAACCCATGTATAAAAACTATAATAATTATTATATTAATATAAAACAATCATCATAAAAAAAAACTGTAACTGTAAACATTAAAAAATGTATAAATTATTTAACAATAAACATTATATCTCCTATAGAACATCTACTATATTTGCTGTGATTGTCTGGAACATAGAGAATAAATAATTCTTCGAAAACTCAACAACTAAAAGTCTGGAGAGTCTGTTTTCCAACTTCTATTTGTTTGTTGTAGTAATTGTCAATACACAGAAAAAACAAGGTATCATTGACATCTCTGAACACAGCTAACAGTTGTTTCAAAAAAGCTTGAAAATTGTATTTGATATACGCTTTTTAGTTTCATGGCAGTCTTATGTAGTCTCTTCTGATTTTTCACAATACTGTAAAAAAGAAATAACATAATGAGAATTTGGTGTTCATAGACTTAGTAGATATTTGATACAAGTTTACAACTGTGAATTCAGAAATTATTGCATGCATTTATTATTGCAATTTTTAAAACATGGATAAAAATGCGAAATTAATTATTGCGATTTCAGGGAAATCTGCATACAGCTATAAGTATCAGATATCAAAATGTGAGTTCTTATTATTGCTATATTTACCCAGTCATATTATTAGCCTTAATAAAAACCTCGCAATAATTTCTGAATTTACAGTATTTAATTTATTCACAATTTTTTTTTAACTTGGGACAAATTAGAGCTTAACACATTGTAAAAAAATCTATTTGTTTAAGGGGCCTTGATGGCCCAGTAGTCTTAGTGGTTCTTCTACTGCATCACAAGTCTATCAACACTGAGGTTGCGAGTTCAGCACGTGGTAGGTGCCTCTGACTCCAACCTTAATTGACTAGGATTGTTAGATTCCCTCCTGGCACTCTGGCTTCCTCCATCAATAAAGACTGACCATCACTGTATAACCAATAATGCTGAAAATGGTGTTAAACACAAACAATCAATCAATCTGTTATTGAAGACTATATGTTGCCCTGTAAAGACTATATGTTACCCTGTAAAGACTATATGTTACCCTGTAAAGACTATATGTTACCCTGTAAAGACTATATGTTGCCCTGTAAAGACTACATGTTGCCCTGTAGATGCCATTCGATTAGTTTGGATTGCTCTCTTTTTTCATAATTACTTTATTTTAATTTCTCCTTCTTATTCTGAATTTGGATGACTTAGACATGCATTACTAGAACATTATGACTATTACTGGTAGCTTCCAGTGGACTATGCCATTGGTGTCCAAACTGTTCACAGGTTTTTAAACTTGAAAAAAAAAACATAAGGGAGACACAAATAGTTTTCCCTTGATTTACTATGATAGCTTAATTTGTTTTATTTTAATATGCTTGCTAAGACTCAAATGAAAATCTAAAATTGAGCTTACTTCTATGAAGAAATATTGTAACCCACTTTTCAACAGAAGGAGAATTTGTATTATAACAGCAATAGGTTGTTTATGGTATATTTATAGTCTTCTTTGGTTTTGTTAGATCCTCATTTTTAATAAGTTTTTGATTTTCAAGTTTTTTAGCCTGGAGCATGCTGAATCCTTTCTCGTTGAAATGCCTATCTTTTGCAGTAAAATTGGTACCGTAAATTTTTGTACTATTGCCATGGTAACTTACATCTTCCATAAAATCATTATGGTTGGTTACTATCCACAGGTTAGGAGGATTTAATAATGAGTCTTTTATCTTTAGATCATGTATTTCAAATGCTTCCAACATCTGTAAAATAGAAAATTTGTTATTAGATATAAATACAATGATACAGGACAAGATTTCTAATCTTGTCTAAAAAAAAGATGAAAGGTCATTGCTGTTAAATGGAAAAAGGGAGATGACCAGCTATTTGGGAAAATCTTTAAATCACATTTCATCCTCATTGGTCCATCAAACTATAATAATTGACAGAGGATTAAATGACTGATGACTATTTAATATCCAGTGGCAAGTATTACAAGCATATTCAGGATAATAACATGTTAAAGAAAAGCGCTTCCGAGGCAGGAAATTTATAACATGTTGTTTTCATTTTTTTAATGTCTTCCAGTTAACTAGCTATAGAGAACTATAAATTATCTGTAAAATATTACACATGTTACTATCCATTTTAATCAGTAACAGTCCAATTTCCTGCTCTATATCTCAGTTGACCCACTCTACAGGATCTACTTCACCTATATCTCAGTTGACCCACTCTACAGGATCTACTTCACCTATATCTCAGTTGACCCACTCTACAGGATCTACTTCACCTATATCTCAGTTGACCCACTCTACAGGATCTACTTCACCTATATCTCAGTTGACCCACTCTACAGGATCTACTTGGTCTATTTCTCAGTTGACCCACTCTACAGGATCTACTTCACCTATATCTCAGTTGACCCACTCTACAGGATCTACTTGGTCTATTTCTCAGTTGACCCACTCTACAGGATCTACTTCACCTATATCTCAGTTGACCCACTCTACAGGATCTACTTGGTCTATTTCTCAGTTGACACTCTCTAAAGGACATACTTGGTCTTTATCTCAGTTGACTCTCTCTAAAGGACATACTTCGTCTATATCTCAGTTGACCTACCAAATTAGATTTATTACCGGGTTTGTACTTACATGAGCAACACGACGGATGCCAAATGTGGAGCAGGATCTGCTTACCCTTCCGGAGCACCTGAGATCACCCCCAGTTTTTGGTGGGGTTCATGTTGCTCAGTCTTTAGTTTTCTATGTTGTGTTTTGTGTACTATTGTTTGTCTGTTGGTCTTTTTCTTTTTTTAGCCATGGCATTGGCAGTTTACTTTCGACTTATGAGTTTGAATGTCTCTTTGGTATCTTTCACCTCTCTTTTTTTACCCTCGCCGCGATATGGCCTTTTTGTGCTGATGTGGCGTTAAGCAATCACCAATCAATCAATCTTTTTTGACCCACTCTAAAGGAAATACTTGGTCTATATCTCAGCTGACCCGCCCTAAAGGACATATTTGTCTATATCTAAGTTGACCCAATCTCAGGGACCTAATTTGTCTATATCTCAATTGACTCACTCTGAAGGACATACTTCGTCTCATCTTAATTGACCCACTTTGAAGGACCTACTTCATCTATATCTGAGTTGACCCATTTCGTCTATATCTCAGTTAACCCACTCTGAAGGACCTACTTTGTCTAATCTCAGTTGATCCACTCTCAAGGAACTACTTCGTTTATATCTCAGTTGACCCACTCTGAAGGACCTACTTCTTTGATTTAGTGTCATGTTATATTATTCTGAATTTTCATAACATCAATTTTTTAAGAAATATCTATAAACTTGTTTGGAGAAAATACTTTTTTTAACCAATTTTTACCAATAAAATTGAAAATGGAAATGGGAAATGTGTCAAAGAGACAACAACCCGACCAAAGAGCATAAAACAGCCGAAGGCCACCAATGGGTCTTCAACACAGCGAGAAAATCCCGCACCAGGAGGCGTGCTTCAACTGGCCCCTAAACAAAAATGTGTACTAGTTCAGTGAAAATGGACGTCATACTAAACTCCAAAACATATAAATGAACTAAAATTAAAAATCATATAAGACGTACATAGGCCAGAGGCTCCTGACTTGTGACAGGTGCAAAAATGTGGCGGGGTCAAACATGTTTTGTGAGATCTCAACCCTCCCCCTATACCTCTAGCCAATGTAGAAACAAGAATGTGTCCCTAGTACACGGATGCCCCACTCGCACTATCATTTTCTATGTTCAGTGGACCGTGAAATTGGGGTCAAAACTCTAATTTTACATTAAAATTAGAAAGATAATATCATAGGAAACATGTGTACTTAGTTTCAAGTTGATTGGACTTCAGCTTCATCAAAAACTACCTTGACCAAAAACTTTAACCTGAAGCGGGACGGACGGACGAACAGACGCACAGACCGAAAAAACATAATGCCCCTAGGTGGGGCATAAAAACAAACACACAGCAATACGCACAGTAAAACTCAGTTAAAAAGAAGTCTGAGTCCAATGTCAGAATAGATAACAAAAGAAACTAAGAAAAATGACAATGATACATAAATTAACAACAGCAGTTACTGACATGCCATCTCCAGACCTCAATTAAACTAATTGAAAGATTATGACTGTATCATATGAAAATCAAGCACAATCCCTTCAGTAAGGGGTTTAGTATCATACCATCATAAAATATATGAGAAGAACATAACCTGTATCATGCCAACCACTGGTTTTAGAATACATGTGTTTATTTCCGATGCCAAGAACCCTATGAGTAAATCAATATCAATACCAAAATATGCCATCTTTAATGACCTGACAATACCATATTTAAATGTACATGTTTTAAAAGAAAATTCCTTTCATAATATTTCTTAAAATAGTAAAATACATAATTTTTCAATTATTAGCTGGTTTAAAATGCCAATTGTAAACAGTATGTGGAACAGCTCCCATCTACTGTAACTCTCTGTTGAGATTTTGTTTCTTAAAAATTTTATAGGTGTCTTTGACTTTCCAAAGCTTTTGCTATAAGGACTAAAGGACAAACAATTATACATTTGATTTTTTTAAATCCATCAATTTGAAACTATAATAACTGGAAGAGGATTACTATTGACTGATGGATGCTTAATATCCAGTGGCAAATATTTCATGCATATTCAGGAACACAATTCAATGTCCTCATTTCCACTAGAGAACTTGTAGCTGTCTGACTTATGTTATAAGAACATTTACATGTGCATATGTAAAATCAATCATGAAGTATTAATTACAAACCTGGAAAGCACATCTGTCAAATGGCATTTTACCAACAGCAGTTCCAAGACCTGGACAAAGGACACTTCTGATTGGTTGATTTTCTGGGTCTCTGTTGTGTTTCTGAACTGCAATTACAAACAAGCCAACTTTTAACAAGAACTTACAAGCAATGTCATGCAAAGTTCACACACAGACACTGAGGAAAATTGCCGTGCTCAAAGAGTATCATAAAAATTAAAAGTGTCATCAAACAGGAAGTGACTTTCTAGGAGATATGAAAATTGTTTCCACTTTACAAATCAAAATAAAAGAACATCTCGTGAGCACGCTTACACACCCAATGCCTGCATATAAAGGGAAACCCCTTTTAGTGACCTGATGGCAAACTTTATTCTGTTTACTTTAAGGAATGATTTTTTTCTGTTCTAATTTTAGACAGAAAAATTGTACAACTCTATTATCAGTTAGTATGACCTTGACCTTAGATATAGTGACCTAAAAATCACTACTGGTATTTCTCCCATTATACGTGACCATATATATCCAAGTAAGATTTCGATCCCATATGAAGTGTTTTATTTAGCATCAAGAAACCACTTTTCTGCAAAATTGTGGAATATTTTAAGTACCCAAGACCCTAACCTTTGGAGTATCAAGCCTCAAAATCAACAAGGATCTCCCTCTCATTATAAGTTACCACATTATAAATAAGGTTTTAATTCCATATGCAGTATTTGATTCAGCATCAATAAACCTTTCTGTACAAATTGCAGTCAATGCTTTTCATGGCAACACTTCTATCAGTTTACCAAGGAGGTAAAATTTCATTTAATAAATATTTTTTGTTTAAGGTGGTACATAACACTACAGGGAGATAACTCTGTAAAAATCAACTGAACGTTTTAATCACATTCTATTGTTAAGGAAATATTAAGCTTCTCAATGATCAAAATTAGTGTTTGTCAAACTGCTATATATCCAATGAAATTTTTCCAATAAAGTGTGTGGTTCAAGTTTTTGGAAATTTTTATATTTTTGCCAAAGGGTCAAAGTAAATATTTTGTCAAAATTTTATGAAAATAAATTGAGCAAAATTAATTTTAGTGAAGGTGTTTGGTACCACCTTAAGAGAAACAATCTTTCTGACTGGTACTTGTATGTTTTAATGAAAAACCGGTATTATTTTAATAAACTGTTAACACAGAGGTATGTCTCGCCTATTTGTTATTTTGATAATGCAAATGTTGAAATTAAAATAGCAATACTTTAACATGTAAGTTATGCAAATATTTAAAGTCAATGAACCATGACTGAAGGTGCAGGGCTAAACAATCTCCCTGGAAATCAGATGTGCCAATGCTAATACAACTGCATACCAAATACCATTGATTTTTTCATAAATCGTTCCCTTTAAACAAACCTAAACACAAACATTAACTTGTAAACTATGCAAAAGTTTCAAAGTCAATGAACCATAATGAGGGGGTGGGGTTATATAATCTCCGTGGAAATGAAACTTGCAAATGCCAATACATTTGCATACCAAATATCAATGACTTAACATAAGTGGTTCATCTTAAATTGACCTAATCACAAACTAATACATATAAACTAAGCAAAAGTTTCAAAGTCAATAGACCATGACTGAGGGGTAAGGACCAAATATACTCTATGGAAATGAGATGTGCTAATGCTCATACAACTGCATACCAATTATCATTGACCTTCCACTATCAGTTCCCCTTAAACTGACCTAATCACAAACTATACATGAAAACTAATAAAAACTTTCAAAGTCAAAAGACCATGACTAAGGGGGCATGGCCAAATAATCTCCATGGAAATGAGATATGCAAATACTTATACAACTGCATACCAAATATCATTGAACTACCACTAGTGGTTCCCCAGAAACTGACCCAATCACAAACTAATACATGGAAACTAAGCAAAGTTTCAAAGTCAATAGACCATGACTGAGGGGGCAGGGCCAAATAATCTCCATGGTAATGAGATGTGCCAATGCTTATACAACTGCATACCAAATATCATTGACCTTCCACTAGCGGTTCACCATAAACTAGACCTAATCACAAAATAATACATTGTTGACGCTGCCGCCGCTGTAGCCGACGCCGGAAACAGCATACCTATGTCTCCCTTTTTGACTCAGTCAAGGCGAGACAAAAAGCATACCAGCTATGATTATAGCTCTAAATGCCAGGAAAGCATTAGCTGTATCATTCACATCTTTTGGAACTCTCATTGTTGGAGCAGAAATTAGAAATTTTATTGGCCTTCCACCACATAAATTGAATTTCTTCATATTTTCAATTTTTTCTTCATTCGGCTCTTCACTATAAGCTGGGATTATAATGGCATTTCCCTATAAGTAACAAAAATTAGTATAAAATACATAAAGTAACAGATGGATGGAGATGACCTTTAATGAAGGACGGATGTCAATTTCTAAATAACAACAATAATTATTTTATAGCTCAAATTGGCCCAAGTAAACAAAGTGTGCTAAAAACTTGCTTAAATAAACCACATACTTATGAGCCTTTTGCCTATCAGGAATCCAATCAGAAACTGTTTGATTCTTTATCTTTTTAGAGTCTATAAAAGGTATGAGCACCTCTTTAAGATAGGGGGCCTCGGTGGCCGAGTGGTCTAAGTAGTTACTACTGTAATCACTAGCCAGTCAACACTGAGGTTGTGAGTTCGAACCCCGCTCGTGCGGGTGCACTCGACTCCAATCTTAATTGACTAGGATTGTCAGTTTTCCTATCGAAGGTCGGTGGTTTTCTCCGGGCACTCCGGCTTCCTCCACCAATAAAAACTGGCCGCCACGAAATAGCCCAAAAGCGGTGCTTAAAAGTGGCGTTAAAACACCAAAAATCAAATCAAAATCAAATCTTTAAGATAGTATGACTTAAACCTTTTAGAGTCTATAAAAGGTACAAGCACCTCTTTAAGATAGTATGATTGAAATCTTTGAAAGCCGATAAAAGGTACAGGCATCTCTTTAAGATAGTATAACTAAAACCGTTTAGAACCTTTAAAAGGTACTGAAACATCTTAAAGACAGTATGACTTAAACCTTTTAGAGCCTATAAAAGGTATGAGCACCTCCTTAAGATAGTATGACTTAAACCTTTTAGAGCCTATAAAATTACAGTCACCTCTTTAAGATAGTAAAACTTAAAACTTTTAGAGCCTATAAAAGGTACAGGCACTTCTTTCGGATAGTATGTTGACCTCAAAGATATCTTTTCAAGTTTTATTGTGTTGTTCAGTTTGTTCTCATTGATATATATATATTCCTACATCCCATAATCTCATTTACTCCCATGCCAACATATTGTTAAAACTTACAAATGATGATCGGACTTCACATATAAATATATATTTTTTATATATTATTAGTCAATATTAATACCTACTACAACATTTTCACCATTATAGTCCTCTCGTATATTACAAGTCAATATTAATACCTACTACAACATTTTCACCATTATAGTCCTCTCGTATATTACAAGTCAATATTAGTACCTACTACAACATTTTCACCATTATAGTCCTCTCGTATATTACAAGTCAATATTAGTACCTACTACAACATTTTCACCATTATAGTCCTCTCGTATATTACAAGTCAATATTAGTACCTACTACAACATTTTCACCATTATAGTCCTCTCGTATATTACAAGTCAATATTAGTACCTACTACAACATTTTCACCATTATAGTCCTCTCGTATATTACAAGTCAATATTAGTACCTACTACAACATTTTCACCATTATAGTCCTCTCGTATATTACAAGTCAATATTAGTACCTACTACAACATTTTCACCATTATAGTCCTCTCGTATATTACAAGTCAATATTAATACCTACTACAACATTTTCACCATTATAGTCCTCTCGTATATTACAAGTCAATATTAGTACCTACTACAACATTTTCACCATTATAGTCCTCTCGTATATTACAAGTCAATATTAGTACCTACTACAACATTTTCACCATTATAGTCCTCTCGTATATTACAAGTCAATATTAATACCTACTACAACATTTTCACCATTATAGTCCTCTCGTATATTACAAGTCAATATTAATACCTACTACAACATTTTCACCATTATAGTCCTCTCGTATATTACAAGTCAATATTAATACCTACTACAACATTTTCACCATTATAGTCCTCTCGTATCACTTTCTGAAGTCTTTCTTGCCTTAAAAAAAATAGAAAGAAGGCAGCTGGTTACATTAAATTTGGAAAAACAGAATTAATAAACAGCTGCACCATGAGTGCATGAAACCCCGTCGCATTTTCTTAGAATAAAATTCAATAACTTCTCAATGTCATATCAGAAATTTGTGAAAAACTAAAGGGAGGTTATCTTAATAGATATAAACCAGTCACCAAAGTTTAATGAAAACTGCTCAAAGCACTTTAAAGGTATTGTCCGAAAACTGAAAAATCACCCATTTTTTATGAATGTAAAATCTAAAGTTTTTAAAAATCAAAGAGAGATTAAGTATATAGATATAAAAAATGCACCAAAGTTTCATGAGAACTGCTGAAAGCATAAATTTTTTGAGTTATTGTCCCAAAACTGGACAATCCCCCCATTTTCAATGAATAAAACCCCATAACGCAGAAACGTAAAATCTAAAATTTATAAAAATCGAAAGGGAGCTCATGTCAATAGATAAAAAGATTTCACCAAAGTTTCTTGCAAATTGGTGAAAGCATTTTTGAGTTATTGTCCGAAAACTAGAAAAAAACTTTTTTTTTAATGAATAAAACCCCACAACTCAGAAACGTATAATCTGAAATTTATAAAAAACGAAAGGGAGCTCACGTCAATAGATATAAACAATTCACCAAAGTTTTATGCAAATTGGTCGAAGCGTTTTTGAGTTGACATGTTGACGACGGACTGAGGGGCGGACAGACGGACAACGGTATACCATAATACGTCTGTAAACGGGCTTATAAAAATACAGCTTCTTGTCCATTTACTAAATTTTTTAAATATAGAGAATACTTTAATATGATAAAGAGCATTTTGTATAAAGACATGCTGCATCTAACAAAGAAACATATATCTGACAGAGAGCTTAAGGCCTGAGGGCTGATATTGATTGGTACTCATGGATTGTAACATTACAAATCTTGAGATATTCTAAACATATGATATAGGGGATACCAGGTACGTGATCTAGGGTATGTGATAATGATAATACTATATGAGGAAGGTAAGACTGTATCTAAACAGAGATCATATAGGCGATAGCAGGTGCTGATTGAGGGTGTGTGATAATGGTTATACTATGTACGGAAGGTGCGACTACAATGCCCTCTTCAATTCCTAAATGGTTAATTTTGCATTATGTTTCTGACTAATCTCCTTTAACTAATTTAATTGAAGCGTCTTCATCAGAAATCCAAAACAGCAATATTAACAGTTTGAAGAATCAATAAAAAGGATATTGATTAAGAGATTTGCTGCAATTTTCCCTACCTAAACTATAATAGAAAAACAATGGATATGGGTATCCATCCATGACACAAAATCAGTACTTGCACAGCAAAAAAACACACAAAAAGCAAACGAACAGTGGTTTAATTGCTGTTCTTCATCTCAAAGTATGTTGACATTGTTTAAAACAAGATCCTTAATATAAACATGGTTTCGTAAATTGTTTGTTATAAATTAGGCCATTAGTTTTCTTGTTTGATTTGTTTCACATTTTCATGTCGGGGGCCTCTTATAGCCAACTATATGGTATGGATTTTTTCTCATGCTGTATGGTGGCCTTAAATTGCATACCAACCGGTATATCCATTTCATTTGAACTCTTGTGGATAGTTGTCTCTTTGGCAATCGTACCTATTTTTATATTGAATGTGTAGAGATTTAATGGCTTTTAGTCAGAAAAATATTAAAAGAAAATAAACTAGTATATAAATACAGAAACTTACATTTGCCAACCAAACATATTAGTATAGACCATATCTATACCGCCATCCATAAAGCCAAAACTATTTGCTGGTGATACCTGGAAATTATAAAAAGCCATTATTAGGCCACAAAAACTGACAAACAAGGCCATAAAAAAGAATACCCAACCTACCCAGAAAATAGCTGCTTACTCAAAATCTTTTATTGTCCTGATGTGAAAAAGGTTTTTTTTAATCAGTTAGGCATGAAGACTAAAAAACATCTGTCACTTCAATTTCTTTTTGCCGAAAAAAAAAAAAAATGCCTACCTACCTACCCACTGTCTCTACCTTTGGGTAGGGTTTGGGCAAACCAAAATATTTTTAAGTGTGGCCCAACAAAACATGATAGATTTAAAAATAAGTAGGTTCGGTATGATTGCTGATGAGATAACTCTCCCCCCTTATTAGGCCATATAAAATGACAGACAACAAAATATGATAAAAGCCATTATTGGGCCACAAATATTAGCTCAGCAATGTGATGGCAAAATCACGTCCTTATTTCACATATTTCAGAGTAAAAAAGAAATAGTATACCAATAATTCAAACAATTACATTTTACTTAATTGTTATCATGATTACTGTAAATTCAGAAATTATAGGGATATTTTTATTACAGTAAATTTCTGTGGATAAGGCAATATCTTTTTTCAAAAAATTATTGGCCTGGTCTTATATATGCGGTAGATCGACCTATCTAAGGTTTTTTTTTAAATCAGGTAGCCACAAAAAACATGCAGCAGTATCAAATTTGCAATAATAAAAACATGCATTCATAATTTCAGTAGTGATTTTCCTCTATAAAATTGTTGCAATAGCATTAATCAGATTTCACATTATTAAGTCAGGTAAACAAATTTAAGTAATAAATGCATTAATTTTAATTCATGATTATTTAAATTTTTAGTATAAACAAATCAAACTAAATATTACTTTTATTTATCTGTATAACAACCAGTTTGGTATGGCATGTAGCTTATCAAGTTAACCTGACAATTTTATCTTTGATCATCATTATCAAAAATTTGGCATTTCTCAAATTAAGGTTTTTAGGGGATATAAATAAAGCTGTTTGTGTGTAAAGAATAAGCAAACAGTTTCAAATTTGGTAAATTTCAAAATGAAAGAGTATACATTCTTGTATTGACTGATTAAGGCTTAATGTCCATCATGTCCATTGGCAAATATTATATGACCATTCTGGACTATTGTTTCAGAAAAGGGAGAAGGTTAGGTACCATTAAAACGTTTAATCCCGCTGCAAATGTTTGCACCTGTCCTAAGTCAGGAATCTGATATACAGTAGTTGTCGTCTGTTTATGTAGTTCATACATGTTTCTCGTTTTTATATAGATTAGACCGTTGGTTTTCTCGTTTGAATGGTTTTACACTAGTAATTTTTGGGACCCTTTATAGCTTGCTGTTCGGTGTGAGCCAATGCTCCGTGTTGAAGGCCGTACCTTGACCTATAATGGTTTACTTTTATAAATTGTTACTTGGATGGAGAGTTGTCTCGTTGGCACTCATACCACATCTTCCTATATCTATATAACACGGTAGAGATATGTATATCATCTTGCAGTATTGTACAAGATCAAAATGCTGAAGTCTTTTAGATGACCAAGCAAGGGATCCAACCCGAGACCTACCAATTGCCATTCATTATGCACCTATCCAGAGCACTTCAGTTTAAACTCTGTTTTTGTTGGGGTTCATGATGCTCAATTTTTAGTTTTCTATGTTATAATAATGTTTTGTGTATTTTTTGCTTGTATATAATATTGAATCATAGATAACTTGAATATGTATTAGGCTAAACAAAACTTCCATACTATTAACATTAACATAAACAAATATTACATGTGTTCTCCTCTAGTTGTTTTGTACTAAAATTTAAGAAGCCCTTGCTTCACACCATCGAGATAACTTTTTGACAGATTAAATTGGTTAGTTTCCAAGACAAAATTTCATATCATAAACTAATTCTAAAACCTGGATTAATACACCATTTTCTACTTAAGGAAATGCCTGTACCATGTCAGGAATATGACAGTTGTTTTCCATTCATTTGATGTGTTTGAGCTTTTGATTTTGCCATTTAATGTGTTTGAGCTTTTGATTTTGCCATTTGATGTGTTTGAGCTTTTGATTTTGCCATTTGATAAGGGACTTTTCGTTCTGAATTTGCCTTGGAGTTTGGTATTTTTGTTATTTTACTTTTTTTCTAGTATATAGATTTGTATATGATAAAACGATTTAAGATCTGTCTAAAAAAAAATTTTGCAGTAGTTCGTCTAAAAACAAATATCATAAAAAAAAATATTTTCCTTACAGTTCAGCAATTCGATTGAATAGCTTACCAAGGAACATAAAATCATCAACATCTTTTTGTTTATTTAAATCTAAATGTTTCAAACATCTCCGTCAAGCCATACAGCAAAAAAATGTACAGAGATAGATCGTTACCGGTAGTTAACATGAATACTATGTATGATATGAATCTTATGTATATATATACTGCTTGTTTATTTGTATGTACTATTTTATTTTGCACTTATTTTATGAGGGCCTAAAAGAAGCTAAGGGAAAAATAATTGGGTTATGCTCTTTAAATAGAGAATATCATTATTACTATCATTATTATTAAACATCCTAGGCCAATAGGACAATTAACAAATCTTTTGATATGTAACAACTATTTGAATCTAACCAGTGTTAAATAGCCTCAACTGTCATTTCAAGCATTAATTAAGTTAAAAACAAAATATATATATTACCAAAGCATCTGCTTCAGGTGCCCCTCTGAAAATATCTCCTGATGAAATCTGAAATTCATTGTAATGCATTGCAATTATGACTTTTTTGGTGGCAGGATTTAATCAATAAAATCAATGAAATTATAGAATTCTTTACAACTTTAGTATAATTTAGAAATACTACGAGGAAAGCTAAATGTTATACCAGTCTTCCTAGACAAACATTTAAGAAACAATCATTTCCAAACCAATTATACTGGTAAGAACATTTCTGCTTTTTGTATGGTTTTTCCTTAACCCAACAGGTTACCCGAAACAGGGAAAAAATAACAGACAGACAGACCCACAGACTGAAAAACATTATGCTCTCCTACTATTTAAGTTTTGCTCCCCCTATGTGCTTTCAGAGAAGATTAAAAATCAACTGCTGTGTAGCAAGTGATGGCAATATTCTGCAATAGCTAACACAGATCTTCAGTTAAAGTGAGCCAAAGCATACTAAAAATCATCTATAAGTTTCATTGAAAAATAGTCACTGGTTCATGGGAGTTTCAGATACAAATTGAACAGCAATGAATAAACAACAATATCAATTATAATCCAGCCTAGCAAGTGCTACACAAGGAGAATTGGTGGATTGGGTTGTATTATACAGAGAAAATAGTTAAAATCAGGCCGTTTGTTTTCTCGTTTGAATTGTTTTACATTTGTCATTTCTGGCCTTTTATAGCTGACTTTGTGGTATGGGTTTTACTAATGTTAAAGGCTGTATGGTGACCTATAGTTGTTAATTTCTGTGTCATTTGGTCTCTTGTGGAGAGTTGTCTCATTGGCAATCATATCACATCTTCTTATTTTTATATACATGTATGAAATGCAGTTATTGCATCTGGTCAATAGCAATTATAGCAATAATCTGGTGTTTCAATGACCATGTTCTATATCTCCAAGAGAATCTTTATAAATTTCAGAACTTTTGACCTTTCAAAATGCAAATATTATAAAAAATCTATAAAAACCTTTGGTATATTGAAGATCTTACTATGGAGGCCATATTTCCTTCAAAACTTTTAAAAAACACATGCAGATCAAACAGTGTAAATAAAATGTAATTATATGAGGTATGCAGGATATGTTTTGTCAACATATATTGCTTTTCACTACTGCAGCCTTCTTCTTATTTGATGTTGACCTTTACATGACCTTATGAACTTACCTTGACCCTGTTTTCATGATTTTTAAACAACTTTGTCCAAGCATTCACCATCTTAGGTTGAATATCTCTCAAATAATATGTCACTTTTATATCACCTGTGCTTTTCCTTACAGTTGATTGGGCTTCCAAACTTTGGTCACTGGACCCCACTTCTAAACTTTCCATTTCAGAACTTAGTTCAAAACTTGGTCCCTTTTCTAATATTTCTACTCCTTTTTCATCAAGTTTATCCTTCACAGAACTCTTTTCTTCATGACTGGTACTATCAGTCATATTTTACAGGGTACCAGAATAACTGAAAAAGATACACAATATTGTATATATGCTATTTAGTTAATTTTGTCCCATTTCTAAGAGTTGAGCAATCTATAATACTAGACTGACCTTATAAGATGGTTAATCTGTTTTATATTCATTTTAAGATAAATATAAAGCTGAATTTTTCAATAATTCTAACATAGATATAAGAAGATGTGGTATGAGTGCCAATGAGACAACTCTCCATCCAAGTCAAAATTTATAAAAGTAAACCATTATAGGTCACAGTATGGTCTTCAACACGGAGCCTTGGCTCACACCTAACAGTAAGCTATAAAGGGCCCCAAAAATTACTAGTGTTAAACCATTCAAACGGGAAAACCAACGGTCTAATCTATATAAAAAACGAGAAACGAGAAACACTTATGAACCACATCAACAAACGACAACTACTGAACATCAGATTCCTGACTTAGGACAGGTGTATGTATAAGAAATTTATTAAGCACACATCTATCCTTGTTTACCAATAATCAAATAGGAAACAGAGAAGAGCTTAATATAACCTGGTCCACCGTTTATTTCAATTAATGCCTTTTCCAGCTTACTATGGGGTACGGATTTTGCTCATTGTTGAAGGCCATACAATGACCTATAGTTGTTTAACTTTTACACCATCTGGTTTCTGATATGGAGAGTTGTCTCATTGAAAATCATACCATTTCTTATTTTTATATTGATTAAAATCTCAAGATATTTTATCTAGAGAGGCGCTATAATTTTCTAAAAGTCTAAATGAAAAAGGCCATATATATAGGAACTAGCGTATCACTCCATTTCTGATTTTTATATTAAGAAAAATCTGAAGATATTAAATTAAGAGAGGCACTTTCTTAAAGTCTACATGAAAACAGTCACTCTTACATGCTTTCATGACATCCTATAGATATATATATATATATATATCATGTCACATATATCATTAAAGTTTTGGAGCGTCTGGATATTACCCCAAAAATTTAACTTCTTAAAAATTATTTATTTGTTAAAAATATTGTCATACAAAAACTTCAAGCAATATATTTAATTTAGATATGAGAGGAAAATTAAGATATTTAATGATTGAAGAAATACATGTAATATTAACATGATTAACAAAACAAAAAATTCTTACATTTACTATTTACATGTACTTTATTCAAAACAATTATTTTGACTATAATTTCGAACCCTTCTTAAACCGGTAAAACTTAAAACACAGACAAGTATTAACAAAAACTAAAAACATTCAAGCTTGATACAGCTCTAAATTTGGATTGTGATTAAACATTTGACAAAGCATACATAGGTTTCTGACACAAAATGAATGTGTTCAAAGAAATGAAAAAATTGATTTTGGACTTTTACCTACATGTATATATTATGGTCCATTATCCAAAATCTAAATACACAGTTTGATTCAGCATATCCAAGTACATCAAAAATTCAATTTATTTATTTATTAATGGGCAATTATTAGCTTAGTTTTTAGAGAGTTTGCTTCATCGTGAAAAAAAAAAAACAAATAAAAATGATAGCATTCTGAAAATTAATTTATACAGAATATCAAACAAACCAACCACGAAGTTCTTAAAATTTTTTACCAAAAAAAATGAAAAAAAACAAACATTTCCAAAATTTCATTCATCATCAATACAATCATTTGACAATGTCTTTTAAAAAAATCTATCATCTTACCCTTAATTATCTTTTAAATTATCTAATAATGAACAGTAAATTTCAAACAAAAATATATTATTCTTCCCTTAGTTTATTTATTTTGTATTTACATTGTGTCATAGGTCAAATTTATTTGTTCAGTGTATGTTCAATGGTGTTAATATGTCCTTTGATTGAGTTAAGCTATTTCGGTTGATATTTTATAGTGTGTCTTTCTATGTTGTGATGTTACACTATTGTTTCAGAAAAAGGGTGAAGGTTTGGTACCATTGAAACGTTTAAACCCGCTGCATTTGTTTGCACCTGTCCTAAGTCAGGAATCTGATGTTCAGTAGTTGTCGTTTGTTGATGTGGTTCATAAGTGTTTCTCGTCTCTCGTTTTTTATATAGATTAGACCGTTGGTTTTCCCGTTTGAATGGTTTTACACTAGTTATTTTTTGGGGCCCTTTATAGCTTACTGTTCGGTGTGAGCCAAGGCTCTGTGTTGAAGACTGTACTGTGACCTATAATGGTTTACTTTTATAAATTTTTACTTGGATGGAGAGTTGTCTCATTGGCACTCATACCACATCTTCTTATATCTATATAGTTTCTAAAATTAGAATTTTATGATGTATCTATTTCTAACTATGAATCTACTTACAATTTCTTTTAACAGTGCAATACAGCTCTGAATTTGGAAAGTGATAAAATATTTGACATAACATAGGTTTCTGACACAGAATGAATGTGGTCTAAGAACTTAAAAATTTGAAATTGGACATTTACCTTACTTGTCCAAATATGAGAAAATAAAGGGTGGCAGGTAGATGAAATTTACATAAATGAAAGGATAAATGAATAAATTGCTTCGCTAAGTGCAGCTGGATACGACCGCAGAGGTCCAACCCTGAACAGTTGGGGCAAAAATGGACACAATATTCGCGCTTGATACAGGTCTGAATTTGGATTGTAATAAAATATTTGACACATAATAGGTTTCTGACACAGAACAGGAACATATATATTGTTAGATATACTGTTCCCAGCACAGAATAACTGTAGTCAAAGAACGTAGAATTGGTTATATAATTTGAATTTATATTCAATTTTTTGCTTTTGTGCAATACACTATGCTCAGGGTTTCAGCTAGGATTTTGAGGGCTTTAGTCACTTTTGCGCGAGATGAAAATTAACCTTATTTTGGGTATAAGCAATGAATCAAGGACGTATATTTCTAGCTTTACATATGCCCAAGTCCTTCAAGGAATAGGCCTGCTGATGTAGGCAGTCATTGCATGATTTGACTAATGTGATACCTAAATATGAAGATAAGAACAGGGAACCAGAAATCTAGTTCACAATTTCACTTCAGGTATTTGCAAGGGACATTCCTGATCAACAAAAGTTGGGTGTCTCTTTTTTAAAACCACATCATAATTCCCATAAATGAACTTGTAATGACTATTTCACTGCGTAATCATTATCCTTGTGAAGACGTTTAAATTGAAATTTGGAATTCATTTCTTTGAAGTTAGAAAGAAGGATTTGTATCAATCCTTAATGGAACGATTGTTATGGCTGTAAATTGTAAATTAATTGAGAATAGATATCGTTTACTTTCGATTTTTAAACGAAATGAAAACGGGAAGTGACAAGTAGATAATAATTTCAGAATGAAAGCGGATTGGTTAACTAAAGGCAGGAAATTATCATTTTTTAAAAATTAAGTTGCTTAGTAATAAATGTATTTGTCTCTCGTTTAATTTGATACTAAATGATTTCGTATTTAACGTTTTAGTGTCTACAAATTTATAAGAAACATTCACACATGCGCAGTACACAGTAAAGGAAGCACCTGTTTGACTTGTGAAAATATTTCTGAAAGTTTTGAATAAAAATCTTCTATCTTTTTAATCTAAATTGTCGAAAGTTTTGATGAAAAGTTATATCAAATATGACGAAAATACGTTCATATGAAGAAACTACGACAAACAAACTGCAAATTCGGATTGTTTGAGAAATATTGAAATTAAAATGCGAACTGCCCGGTGGGAAACAATTTTGTTTTAATGACGAAACTAGGATAAACGAACTGCAAATTGTGGTTGTTTGATAAATATTGAAATTGAAATTTTTAATGAATAATTATGATGGTCAATTATGAGGTTTATAAACAATTAGCAGATAAGTGACCCATCTGATGGCGATAAGCGGATTAACTGTAATCACAACTGTTAACACCTGTTGTAAACATTAATTAGCTGAGGGTCAGAAACTTGTCAGAAACATGAACACAGGTAGAATTATAGTATTTTAATGCGAAAATTGTTTACACTTTCCAAATTTAAGTGACGAAATTGATTTAAAATACTTTTGTCATTTCAAAAATCGTTTCGTAAAAGACAAAAGTGACGAGCGCTAGCAAAATCACTGACTATGCCGTTGCGAATTGACCCCCCCCCTTTTTTTTGGCAAAAAAAAAAAAATATTTGAAGAAATTTTCTTTTTAATTGCTGAAATCTGAAATGTGAAAAAAATATCCCCCTCACAATTTCTTTTTACCCCCCCCCCCCCCCAAACCCTTATTCCAAAAAAAAAATGTATTTCCCTTAAAATATGGTCATAATCTCAATTCAAATTTCCAATGGAATTTGCAACCATAATTACCCATTTAAATACATCATAAAAGTCTTAAAATAGAAAATGACATACATAATCATGGCTATAATTAATATTCCTTAATCAGCATTTTTAAATAGTAACTTCTAAGAATAAATTGACAGCTTATCACCTCAAGACAATACAACATTTCTTTATACATGATTTAAAAGCAGTGTAAGGGAGGTAATCCAAACATAACATTGTACTTTTTTTTAATTGTCCATTAACCAGGAAACCCTTGTTTTTCCCCCTTTTTTGCCCATAATTCCTAAACGGTTTGAGCCATAACCCCCCGGAAAAGTCAATCTTAACCATCCCTTTGTGGTATGGAAACTTGTGGTATAATTTCAGAGAGATCCATACACCGTTCCATAAGTTATTGTCTGGAAACTAGAAAAATGCTTATTTGGGCCCCTTTTTGGCCTTATTCCTAAACTGTTAGGACTATAACCCCCCAATTCAATCCCAACCTTCCTCTTGTGATTATAAACCTTGTGTTTGAATTTCATAGATTTCTATTTACATTTACTAAAGTTATTGTCCGGAAACCAAATATCTTCAGACGACGCTGACGACGACGACAACGTGATACCAATATAAGACCGCAAAATTTTTTTGTGGTCTTATAAAAATGAACAAATTGAGGCCTGATTTTTATGGATCCAAGGCCCTCAGTCAGCTCCAAAAGCAACAAA